ATGGTGGTGGAAACAGAACAAGCAGAGAGATTTAGAGAGAAAATACAAATTTCCTTCAACAGCCTTTAATGATCTTTCAGTTTCAGCGCAATCTTTAAGACTAAATTGGTATCATCTTAGAATTCCCATATGATATTTGTATTGAAAAGTAAGCTGCAAGTATTTGACAGAAAAAAAAACCTCTGCATACAGGAGAAAGAATTGGTGTAGTTAGTCCAATCTTTCAAAACTGCCTGCTTTGGAAATGTTTTACTTTCTTAACCAAAAAAGCTGAACATATTAAGGGTTATCAGTCACTATTTCTCCTACTTCCAATCACTGTTATGCCAGATGGGATAGTGAATATCTTCTCCTGGGCATTCTTCCTTTTAGGATAATTCATTAGCAAAATAGAGTTGACATTATCGACTTCACTTTCAGAAAGAGTGAAAGTCAAGGAGACTGTTGTGTCCTGTAAGACAATATACAGTTCTCTGATTAAAAAGTGTTTGCAAAAATAAACAACACTTCATAATATGACTTACAAAGAATACAAATTTTTGTATTTTTTAAGTCTATCCTTCTGTGTCTCCACTTTGCAATGTGCGCGATTAATGTAACATTATGCTCTTTTTTTTTTTTTTTTTTTTTTTTTTTTTTTTTTTTTTTTTTTCCCCAAAGAGCTTGAAATAATTTGAGGAAAATGCCACAGGGCTGTAGAAAAGTGTTTAATGGTGTGGTATGGAAGTTAGCTTTTGTAAATTCTGGTGGGCTATGTGAAGTTACACTGGTGTTAAGAATGCTGAGCCTACCAGTAAAATCTTTGGACTCCTGACAGCAAATCTGGCATGGTCCTATCTGTATGTAATAGATAATTGTTTCTGGAGCTAACTATTCTCAAAATAGCATCCATGGTTTTTTTCTGCAGAATATACTATTTGGTTTGCCTTGGCTCTCTGGAGAGAGGCACGATTGGGAAACCAATTCAACTTGTTTTTGTCTTATTTTACAGAGTTGTTTGACAGACCAAATCACGAAAAGGTCTCTGATACAATAAAGTGGTGAGGTTTCAGAAGGTGACTTTCTGTTCCTCCTACATCATAATACCTGTGCTATGTAATCTGTTAAGCAATAAATGACAAATGGGTGGGAGGTAAGGACACTTACTAGTTTAGCAGCCTACTGGAATGGGCAAGTTTGTACATGAGTGAGAGCAGAAGAGAGACAATAGTTTTACTGTTAAACAACATGAAAGAAAAAAAAACAACATGCACAATTAGATTCATTATATAAGCCTAGCTGTTTCTGCCACAGACTTTTCTGTCCCAGAAGACATCTCATTGTCTATGTCATGATTATGTGAAAAATCTTCCATTTCTGTCATTTCAAACTGTCATCAATTGATGCCCTGCAATTATCAATTGAACAGGTCTTTCTAGCCCAGTCTTCAGAGCTGTTGACTTGGGAAGACAGATTTCATCCAGCACAAATATTGCAAGAGATAGGCTGTACCGAATTCAAAGAGACTGTGTTATCCATGCCCTAATTTGGCAAATTTGTATAGACTCATAGATTTAATGGCCTCAGGTTACTCCTGTGATCATGTAGACTGACTTTCACACATTATTTCTCCACAGCATTTCTATTATGAGGACATGCCATCTGGAGAAGGTTGAGCAAGTAACAGAGAAACTGACACATTTCTAAATGCGTATAAAACCTTACCATCATTGGTTAAAATAAGGAATGTTCTTCTTAGGCTTAATTCAACAAGTTGCTAATTCTTTTCATTAGAGCTTATTGTTCCTCTTACAGTTAGACTTGTAATTGTACAATATTTTTTTTTTATGCCAGTAATTTTACACTACAATTGGATTTCCTCTTAGAAAAAGTATTTTTATAATCCCTACTTCTCTTACGGCATTTGCATCAGATTTTCTACATTATAATATTTTTTTTTTGTAATTCTTTTTGAAGAGTGTATTTGTCTAGTAATTTTAAACACAGAGGGCCAGAACTCCACCAGTTACTAAGGTGCAAATGTAGGGATATCAATGCATTTGATTGAATGTAGAGAAGAGACTTTAAATGTGTAAACCCATAGCAAGTTAGTATGTACTGTAGTCAGCAGCATAAAATATGACTTTTGTAGAGAAGCCCTTCTGTCTTTGTCCTGTATGGAAATAATAATTTTCTTATAGCTTTGCCAGTAAATGTTCATATTATAGAAGCAATACAAACTGACAAACTCAAACAGGCAGTCTTTTATTCAATCCCTAAAAGTTCCCCAAGCAAAATAAACATCCATATTTCTTCATTGTGTAGCTGTACTCCGTTCACATCTTTTGACAGAGGAGCATGACATGAATCTCACACCAAAACAACATTTTTGTTTTGGCATTTTCTAAGTGCAACATGTCTCTATGTCAAGGTAAGATTAATTTGTGTGGAAATCGAATTGAACATCAGGATAGCAAAGTATGTATGACTTATTCTGTAAGGTCAGATGAGTTCAGAGAATATTCTGATGAACTTTAAAAGCCAGTTGAATTCACAGTACAACACCAAGTGGTAAACACAAAGTAGAAGACATTGGGGAAATAATCTGAAGGAACTGTGCATCCACCATACATTGTAAAAACTGAGTGAAATTCTCATTATATAGAAGTCAAAGAAGGTATTTTTCTGTGTGAAGCCTGGTTAAAGGGTGTGACAGGAAATGCAGAGAAAAAAATCCATTACATTAATGCAATGAGCTCATAATTTTCTTTGTCATTAAAAAAGAGAGGCTCTAAATTCATGAAAATGCAGGAAGAAGAGTATTTTGATTAAGAGAAAAGCAATTTTAAAAAAAGAATTAAATAAACAGGATGGCTTAATTTTCAGAAAAAAGAAAAAGAGATGAGAATAAAACTCAAATATGAAAAGAAGTGACAAAAAACATGAAATAGAGAATAAGATAAAAAGAGTAAATTGAGGTCAGCTCTCTTTGTCCTACTGACAGAGAAAAATAGCTATTTGAGGGAAAAAAGGTGGAAATTTAAAAACTGATGAGATGTTTTGACATGCATCATAGTTTCATTCTGAAATTCACTGCATAATAATACAACTCTGCTTATGTGTGAAGGAGAGAGAAGGTTTGTGTCTTTATCTAGACGCCAAGTATACATGTATGTGTGTGCATAGAAACAGACACCTCAGCTTTCTTTGAATAGGACTGATTTTTTATTCCAACAAGTATTTTATTTTCTATTTAACTTAGCATTAAGTGCATGAAAAGTTAGAGAGTACTGTCTTCTTATAGTAAATTATAGCAAATACTATTTGACAATATAAACCTGTTTGTTCAAGATTTAAGAATATTTGTAGCTATTAGGTATTAGGATAAAACAAACACATAAACAAACCTCCACAACTAAATCATGTTACCTCCTGATTTTTCTATTCAAACTCTAATTCATCTTCCCCCATGTTTGCTACTGGTTGCATTCTGAGATAAGAAATTGAGATATGAATTCAATGTAATATTCACTTTAATATTCTGGAAGCAAATATAACTGAAACTTGTGATTGAATAAAAAGCATTTATAAGCAAGACTTTTCATACCAGAAGAAAATGGAGAATGAGTTCACAGAAGATTCTACAGAAAAAAGATGAGGCTCAGACATTATAAGAAGGAAAATTTCAGTAAGGGTTAGAAGGGTTTTAAAACTCTTTTTTGAAGTTTAACCTCCCTGCCCCACCTGAAAAACCCCAAACCAACACCCAAAGTGGAGGAACACTTTCTGTGACTGCTGAGATGAGACTTGTTCAAACTCATTCATAAATATAGTTATGAATTATGCCAAATTAACCTACTTAATTTAATAACCTAATTAATTCATTTTCTGGAATAGAACAAAACAGAGTTCTATACAGAAAGTGGAAACTTTACATTGTTTTACATGAAAGACAGTTTTCTGCAAGTAAAAACAGCAACATTCTCTGAAACTTTAGTGATCTGCTGATCTCTGACTTTTTGATGAGTTAGATCATGTGAAATGGAATGGGGAAAAAAAGATTTAGGACTAGGATTGTATTTTGCCTGAGATTTTCAGAACTGCTCACTTGAGATCATGGATTCATACAATGGAATTACTGAGCTCACTGAACTGTAACAAGCAGTGCTTAGCTGTAGCATATCTTCCAGACAGAAACTAAACTGTGAGGCAGGTAATCCATTAGTTCCCTTGAAAGGGTAATTTAAAATCCTCATAGTTAAAAATTTCTTATTGAAATTTTCCTGCTTCAGCTTCCATGCTTCAAATTTTGTTTTACTTCTCTTCATGAGAGAAAGAATCCTTATAAATCCAGCATTATTTTCCTGTGGAGATACCCATTGTCTTGTAAGGTAAATTGTTGAAGAACCTTCAGTTTCTCAATGTAAGTTACTTGCTTGATTGAGTTTTTCAGTTCTTTGCCAGTCCACCAAGCTTCCCAATAGTGAAAATTTGTGCATTTTCTTTCACATAATTGACAAAAATGCTGTAAACATCAGACTTCTTTCTCTTCCCTGTGGAACTGTGATAGAAACAATCCCGTTTGGTGAAATCCCCCTTAGATTACCAATAATTTTGAATCTATCAGGTATCCAGCCCTTAATTTATGTATTATATTCTTTCCTGATACTCCAAATAACTAATTCATAATCAGAATATTATGAGATACTAATTTAAACAGTATACAGAACTCCAAAACTATCCCATCATTGACACATTATTCTATGAAGCAAGTAAACTTCTGAAGGAATGCCATCAGGTGTATTTCACAAAATCTATTTTTCATAAAGCCATGTGAGTGACATTAATTTTATTTCTGTTTGTTAATCTTGAATCAATCAAATGTGAAATTGGTGTTTACATTTTCATTTTGAATATGCAAGTTTAGTTGTTGGCAGAATTTTGGAAATTTTAAAATATTTTGTTTGCTATTGATAGAGAAAGCATACTTTTATCTTCTCTCACTCTCCCCTTCATTTTAGGAGTTACAGTGCTTGAAGGGCCTATTTATGCAGTGGGAGGACATGATGGTTGGAGTTATTTGAATACAGTTGAGAGGTGGGACCCTCAAACTCAGCAATGGACATTTGTGGCAAGTATGTCAATTGCCAGAAGCACTGTTGGAGTAGCAGCATTAAATGGCAAGTGAGTAGGGTATTCTTGTATGGTTGAAATGCATTTCTTAGAGGGATGAATAACTGTGACATACAGTAGCATGTAGCTTTTAGCATGTTATAAAAGAGGGTGTCCCTTAAAATACATGCAGTCACAGTTGTGCATACCCTTCTATGTCTCAAGGGTCTCACATTTTTTTAAATACATAATTTATATATATTTTCTATATTATTTTTGTTTAATATTTCTGTAAAATGCTTCAGTCTATAGACATGAAATTGCAGTGTGTATGGTATAAACCAATTCAGGACAAATTGTCAGGACTCATCTGACTTTGATGTTTTATATGTCAGTTCTAGTTAACCAACTGAGTTTATCCATCTCATGTAGTCATGTACCCAGTGATAAGATTTCTTGCAAATGCATTTTGTACCTTGCTTTGGCTAAACATTGAGCTATTAAACATTCCTTCTCTGAAGGCAACTACATTTACATAGGAAGTAAACAGAAATTTAATTCTTCTCAAACCAATCAGATGGCGTTAAACCTGTAATTCTAATTGTGTTCAGATTCTAAGTTTCTCTTTCACTTTTTAAAATTTGAATGGGGCACTTATTAAAACTCATTTTACAGTAAATGTTTTGTATTTCTTGTTGCTTATTAAAGTACTTGTTTTTATCTGTGTGCCTAAGAAGTATATGATGTAAACTGTAATAATTATGAGAGAGGGAAGGAATTCATCACACATCAGATATTTTTGTTTAGACATCTACAACTGAGCCACTTGTCCTAAACTTGCTTTATGGTCAGTGGAAGACATATGTACTTTTAGAATATATATATATTTTAACTTATTTTAGACATTTATGTTAAGACAGCATGAATTCTGCTCTTTAAGTGCCTATTGTTCTCTACTTAGTATACAGGAAACCTGAGGATTCTGTCTCAGATTCTAACTTCTATGTTTTTGATATGTTAAGTGAGGAAGATTAATTCCACTGTGGACAACTGAACATAAATAAAGGGCAGTCAGTAAAGAATGCCCTAGGATTGGTAGCAACAGAGCAAGGCAAATTTCTGGAATATTGTTTTCCTCGTACTTTATTGCTACTGAACTGCAAGTAATAAAGGATGAGAAAGAGCTGCAGATGTGGGATGGAATGAGAGAGTGAGTGTTGAGTACATTAAAAAAGACAGTAAAAGTTAGGATAAAAGGTATATACAGAAAACAAGGCTATTGGGTTTCCTGGTTGACTATACTGTTGCATAATTCAACAAACCACTACATTTTGTCCACTCAATTTCTTCTAATTGCAAATAATTCAGTTTTGATTATACAGTTGGATAAACTCCCTGAATTTTTTTTTTTATATTAGACTATGTTCACCACAGCTAAGATAAAGGATTTAAATATTAAGCTGAATTGATTTCTGGGATTGTCAGACTCTTTCCAATGACTGTAAAAGGCACTGGATGTAAAAGTCAAATAAGGAACTTAATTAAACCCACTATGTTACAAGACCTATAGAAGATCATGTACCTTTCTGTACAGAGGCAGGAGGCTTGACAGAGCACCCATAATCCCAACATTATGACAATATGCAGTTGTGTTTTTTTTAATCAAATTCCAAATTAATTAAAAATACAGACTTTAGAAATGTTAACTAATCTTAGGAGTTTTTCATATTACAGTTGTACCTTATTTGCAGAGTAACACTGGATAAAATAGACTTTGTTGGATGCATTAAATATTAATATTATATTATTTGATTAACTGTATCGTATACTCAGATGATCTACTTCTCATCCATGACATTAGGAGCTAGTCTTACGTTGCAAAATCACCTGCAGACCACTGAAGCTTAATTATAATGGTTTATTTTTATGAAGTCACAGTGGCATTGAAATGTTCCAGAGTAGATCAAATGTACAAAGCTGCTTTAACAGCCCTGTAATTCTGAAATCAAATGGTTGTAATAGTGTATGAGCCGTGCAGCAGAGACAAGATATAGACAATTAATCCTGCAGATATAGATCCAAAATTTTGAAGAACTGCATATTGTCATATTCATATACTCCAGGTATGTTTCTTTTGCACAGATGAGCATGTATTTAATGCTTCTCAGTTAATAAATGCTCCGTTGAATTTTGCCTGACTTACACAAAATTAGTATGAATGAAATGAGATATTATCTCTGTCTCAGAAAAGTGGAATGGACACCACAGAAAACTGAAAAAACAGTGTCTCACTAAAGCAAATAACAAATATACAACTGATTTTATATATATATATATTTTTTATTCTAAACTGAATAACCATCTTTGAAAAATATTCTATATGCCAAGAACTGAAGCTTGAAAACATATGTAAGGACCAGACCTTTCAACTCTCTGGTGCTGTTCTTACTGCACTGATGTTCCACACAACCATCTGCTACATTCTTCATCTCAGCTTTTTGCTTTGACATGGGCAGAGAGTTATGGTTTGGTTTTCGGAGGTTTTTTGTGGATTTTATTTGGGTTTGCTTAGAGGAATTTTAGAGATAATAAAAGTGATAATATGATAAACAAGATAATGTTTTTAACATTCAACAGAGGAGAAACCGGTTTAATATGAAAGTTCTGAGAAGTCTTTTTCTGGTTATTCCTTATGTTTCTTTACTTATGCACTGAATTAAATAAGTAAATAAAATCTAGCAGGGTTCAACTACCTTTGAAGTGAGAAAGCTAGAAACTGTTCCATGTGTGTATATTCCCAACTACATTGGGCACTTTACACAGAAGGGATACTGTGTGCTAAGTATCTCAAATGTGAGCTAAAATACTTGGAAAAATACAGTGTCTTCTTTTGTGTTTTAACATGGGAAACTATTTAATTTTTGTTCTTCCATTTCTCTGTGGTCTGTTTAATTGGTTTTCCAGTTAAAGCTGTTTTAATCAGAAAATAATTCAGAGTTTGTAATAAAATTGGATTAAAAGGACATTTTTCTATAAGTTATTTTTCTATAAGTTGTAAGTTATGCTGGAAATAAATTTTTAAAAAGCTGATCTTTGAGGTCCCTTCCACTCCAAACCATTCTGTGGTTCTGATCTCCCTAGGCTCTGAGATGATTGATTTGTAACATCTTATTAGTTCTTAATGTATTGAACATTTTTATGCTTATTTAAGGTTTTGAACCTCACTTGTATAGTCTGTGTGAGTATATTATTAGTTATTTTGCTGCTCAAATACATGGAAAGTGATGTTATCAGAATTTGGCAAAACACTGAAATATATTTTTAAATTTAAATGGAAAACTAGATTATAAAAAAAAATAATATGAAAACCTGAAAAGGATTGTGCCAACATGTGCATCATAATCCAGGCTGAAAATACTTAATTTTGAAGCCATAATATCATGCTGAATTTGTCAGAAATTCAGATATTCAGAAAAAATATCTAAAGTACAGTGGGTTTTGTTTGGTTTGGTTGTTTTGGGTTGGTTTTTTTAATAGCCCAGTTGACTTGGCTCATCTGTAGAATTGCAATTTGAAGTCACAGTTCTGTTTCATGCATAAGGCCTTAATGGAGCATCTTCCTCAAGCAAGAATGTCACCTTCTTTTTACCCTCAGATTTTCCACAGTAATAGGATACTGTAGTTACTATTCTTCAATTAGGAACACAAACAATAATCCTTAAGTGGTTTGCTAACCTAAGGGGAAACTAGAGCAACTGGTGAAAAAGACATTAATGGTTTTCTAGAAAAAAAGAAAGACACATTGAACATTTACTCTACCAGAATTTCAATAAAGCAGTTTATCTGACATTACACAGGAAATAATTAGTTAAGATGGCAAAAAGATTTATAGTACAGGGATTTCAAGAAAAAAATAATTTTATGTGACAGCTAGAACATCACAAAGTTACTGCTGGTATTTTTTAAAGGTCAGCCTTGGGATAAAGGACTGTAAAAAGTAGGAGCCTACCAGTTAATTTATCAGACCATTCAAAGACCATATCAATATAAATCACTGAATCACAGAATCACCAAGGCTGGAAAAGGCCTTTAACATTGTCAAGTCCAGCCTATGACACCACCACATTGCCTAGACTATGGCACTAAGTGCCACATCCAGTCTCTCCATGTCTATATATTTATTTATGTATTTATTTATATATTTACATTTATATTTTTGTATCTTCATATTTATATTTATACTGCTTATATTTATTTTATATATGTAATACACAACTATAAATATACGTGTATATATGCACACCTGTATAAAATACATTTAAATATACATATATGCACGCACATACATAAAATATATATATTTCTGCTTACTTCTACAGAAGTATTTGGATGACCATAAGAAGCAACACAGCTAGGATATTTAACAGCGTATGTGTGAATGAGCAAGTCTTGTGTTTGAAAAAAACTACCAGTTGGAAGTGGCAGAAGACAGAAAAAATCTCTAAACTTTGTTAGTATGGAAAAAAACAGAAGGAATGTGTGAAAAAAGGGAATGCAACTGAAGAATTGATACACTGTGGAAATACTTATGGCATTTGCATTACTGTGTTCAATTCTGGTCATGCATATTGAAAAAGGTTTAACTGAAAGCTCGAAGATTGAATAGGTAGTACCATGATTATCAAGAATGCCTGCCATACCAAAGAAACACAAGAGAAGGATTACAGTTGGGAAAGGAATGGATGGACAGAAGTGCATAAAATTCAATTAAGGAAGTCTAGATATCATAAAAATGATAGGGAGGCAACAAGAGGGTGTACTCAAAACTCTCATCAGGTCCTAAGTCCATGTTCATAGAAAAGGTAGCATTTTCATGTGACACCGAAGATTGGAATTGAAGATGTTTCCTTTTCAGTAACATCTTGTTTTCCAAAATCATTTGGTGCTGTGTAGCAGTAAAAATCTGTATGGAAGCTTTAGAGATTTCACCTCCTTCATCCTCACATCTTTTCCATAGTTAAACAGCAATTGAAGTGTACAGGGTGTTAGCCTTACTACAGCTTATTTATTTA